GACCACTAAAGAGGCAATCTTAATGAAATAGTTCTTCTTCATAAAATAGAACAAGCTGCTCTAAAGATTTCCTTTAGATACAATCCGGACACTCTCTTCCGGGCTTCAACTTTACCCTAACATTACCAAGGGCCAAATGCAAAGAGGCTGCGAGATGCTTCCTATCCAAAGGTGTAAAGAATAACGCTACTAAGCTAAAAATGATGTCTTTGTTGCCTGCATTTTATCTACTGATTTATTTTTAAAAGTTGCTGTTGCTCTGCTAAGCCACTGGCAATGTAACATTGCTCCCTAAGTGAGCAAGTAAATGGTTCCCCCAATCTTAACGCACAGATTTACTTCTCACTCAGTTCCCAAGTTCAGCTGGAGTTGCTTTTGCATTGCTGGAGCTTGGGACACTTTCAGATTTGCATTCTGTCTTCTTGCACAATCCTTCTGAATCCAAAAAGCACGCAAAAAGCTCTACTCCCACTGAACGTTTTACAGAAACCATACATACACACTCTGGACTCTAATAATATTCAGCATAAACCCTGCAGGTCAAAGGACTGTTTACTTAAACTGATGGGCTTAAGGTCCAGCTCAAGGACAGGAGAGCCTAGGAAACTGCATATATCACCTACTATTTATTTGGGTAAATTCCGTATTACTTGTTCACTGTGAAGCTAAGAAACCCAGCTGTAGGCAAGTCTTTAACACAAGCTGAATGCAGAGAGCTACAGAGACTTGCTGTGAAAGCCCTGAAGTAACTTTGCACGAACATTTCCACCCTGTACTGGGTGTAGGAGAACTTTCACCTTTATCTGCAGCTAAGCATAAATATAGCCAGTACTAAGAAGAGCCCAGACAGAATGCAATAGAGAAGACAGGCTTCAAAACTGACAGCGTCTTGGGGATGCTTTTGGAGAGGCATGAAACGAAAGGTTAATAACCTGATGTAAAACAATCTGTAATAGATTTGTAGTTCTCCAACGTTTTGGGCCAGCAAGCGCTGCCAACTGTCAGCCTCTCTTGTTAAGCACCATCCATTCATGTTATTTAATTATTAGCTAAAAAGCATAAAAGATTTGTAAATGATGTGCCATTTAATATGGATGCACAGAATAGGTGTAGATACCTACACTGAACCGATATACCCCCCCCCAAAACAAGACCTAGTAGACCAGTATCAGCCTCCCGCAGAGTCTAAAAACCAGCCAGAAGACTGAAGTTTGTTCCCTTCCCTGTGAACCATAAGGGACAAACAGTCCTGCAGAGCTGACCTCCCATACGAAGTTACACTGCATCCAAAGCTGTACCATCAGACACGTCAAAAGAGCACAGCAGCCAAGGGGCTGGGCCTGAAACAACGGTACTGCAATTGCTGCCAGATGTACCGACTGTAGCATTAAGTTACCTCCACAGCACAGTTGTTAGCACCAAGATCGTCGTGAGGGGCAACTCGGGAGATGTATTCCCTCAACCCAGGCAAGAGAGGACACCACACTAGAACAGCATAGACTCAGCCCTCTAACCAGCTGTTTCATGCAAGGCAATGCCATGGAGAACTGCATTAAGACTCTGTCCACTTGGTGGAGGGAAAACTCTTACAAGCTAAATTCAAAACAGGAAGAAAAGCCTACCAGTGAAGCCTACTGGCATGTAATGGAAAGACCAAGAACCTGCTACAGTTCTGGCAGAGAGGCTGTGCCTGGATAGAGCGAAATACACGAGATCAGGCTGACTAAAGGAACCAAGCACCCCTTTTGGGAGGATGCACAGAAACTTCTAACGAGGAGAAATATTATTTCCTCTAAAGGAAAACAGCTGTTCAGCAGCAGCAGTATAGGAAGACAAATCTAATAGGAAGACAATCCCATCTGGATGCCCAGGCCTCCTACAGATCTGCAGCTGGCGTAAATTAACATAGCTTCAACAGAGTTCTACAAAGCCAGATGCCATCAGATGATCAGTCCAGTCTCTGGCCAACTCCAGTTATGAAGAATTAATGTTTTAAAAGACTTTGACCTAAACTACTGAAGATGCAGGAGAACACAATTAACCCAAGGTACTATGAAACATCAGCAAGACATCTGAAAGCCTTCAGGTAAGCTGTATAGAATAGCGTGAAACTCATTCTGAAAAGGAAATATGCAAAATACTGATGCAGAGAGCAAATATCACCTATTCAAACATGAAGCTTTAGAGCAGGATAACTAATCTGGTTAAGGAAACTGAAATTGTTATTTTAGAATTAAATCAGTTTGAACGGCTGCATTGAATGAAAACCTACGAGATCTTTGAACAACAGGAAAACTGTTTCTATGCAAGGAAAGCTAGGCAGATGATGCTACCAGACAATTCTTTGAAAGCTTGTTCTAAGCATGGACCGTGAATTACGGAGGAAAGAAAGAGGAAAAGAGGTTATCATTAGAACAAATCAGAAGCGTTAGAAAAAATATCTCGAATTCGACCTAGTTCAGAAGAGGAAACGGACTTTTCGAAAACACATCATTAGTGCCTGTATCAGCTGGCAACATATCTCAAGTCCCAGCTACCTGCTCATTTGCAAGCTAAAGTAGTGGCAGTGCAGCCCCTCTGATTTTAAGGCTATTCTAAAACTTGTGGTGATTTCTGGCAAATATGTTGTACCCTGATTGCAAAGAACTTGCTGCTGGTTGTGGTGTAAAGAAAGAAAGGAGGGGTAGAAGCAGAAAGCATGAACGTGTGTGGTCACCTCAAATTCCACCATCGCTTTCTTCATGCTCTCCACATCAAAGATCATCTTAATAAGCTCCTGGATCGGCTTAGCAAGTTTGGATTTAGTCCCAGCACCCACTGTCAGTTTCCTCACAGCTTCTTCGTCCTGGGAGGAAAAAACAGTATCAGAACTACCAAAATTACAAAAGGATAAAGGTAACAAGCTGGCTGCCATGGTAACCACTCAAAACCAGTCTACTGTATGCATACTATTACTAGCCTGAAGTTCATGGGGAGCGTGGGACATTGCTTTGACATTTTGTGGTGACGAAGGTTTAAAAATCCACTTATTCAGTAACTTGGCACACATGTTTCAAGAGGTGCTACAGTGAAATGCAACTGAAATTAATGGAATGTGAACTTTGTGTGCATTTCTACTTCACCTCAAGCAACAGTATTAATTATTCCCCCCTCCCCCCCCCAAAGCATTCTGCTGTATAGAGAGACCTTGGTATGAGAAAAAAAATAGCGTGATTTTACTTCATAGCTTTTAGGATAAAATAGAGGCATAATAACTAGCTTCACCAAGTTATTTTTTAAATAAAATCTGTCATAGATGAGTACAGGAATCATCAGCTGGCCACAATATTATCTAGCTGCTTTCATGGTTAGTGTTTCACCAATGCAAGATCTGCCAGATGCTTCAAAGCATCACTGTACTTTGCAGTTTAACAGACACTCTGTTGATGCAACATTCTACAATATTCGAATTACCAGAAATAATGCTAAAATATCGAGTGCTTCACATAGAAAGATGATACCCAGTCATTTAGCCACAGAAAAATGCAGTGGCTAGAAAATACATTCTCCATTATCCTCATAGCTATTAACAGCACTCAATTATTTCATCTAAAGATAGTTTAGGCGAAGGGTAGGTCTTTAAATAAACACAAACACCCACTGGGCAGAAGGAAGAAAATTCTTATTTAGCTTATTTAAATAGCCAGATCTCACTGGCAATGAATAACTTCTCTTTTTCTGTCTGCTCAATATGGGCACTGAGCAGAATGATGCATAGGATTTGCCTCACCGTTTGGGCGCATTTTTGACGCGGAAGACAGATAAAAAGTACCTATTTTAAATAGGAAAAAAAATTGTGGTTTCAGACAGGGAAGCATGTGAAATTACTGTTGAATTAATTTCAAATTAAAACTACAACCTTAAAACTACACAGAGTAAACAGAACAGAGTCCTAAAGCGGCTTTAGACTTGACACGGTAAAACCATGGTAAAAAATAGTTTAGTCTTCCAACACAGCTTTTTTCCCCACCTCTTTACATGCTTGACTACTTGCATCTACTCTGCAGCTCTCTTTCTGTAGCACATAGACTATGCAACAGTTACTTTCCTAATGAAGTAACTGCACCAGCAGGAAGAACCTCAATATTTTGGTTGGAATCACCTGCCTCCCCTGACTGGACAGTTTCTTCTACAATGCTATGAATTCTTACACACACAGAATAGGACATACAATGACATACTTCTCCTTCCAGGGGTCTCCTTGCTGGGCTTACATTAATAACCCGTGTAACAAACACCTGCACTTCATTCCACAGGTTTATTAAAGTATAAAAGATTCAACAGTGCAGGATATAACAGAGAGCAAAGTAGCTGAGCAATGCTCCACCTGCCACATGGACATTTTGGAGTTACCTGTCCATAATCAATTTCCAGTGGGTAAAATTTTTTTGGATATTTAGTGAAGTTCTTTGAATGCCAAGAATTGCCAGTTTTCTCTTCGTACAAATTCAGAAAGTGCTCAACAGCGTCCTCTTTTGATGGCATCTGCTCCAGCTTGTTACTCCCGATCACAGTGCCCACGCGACCCCAAGATCTGAACACCCAGTATCTAGAGAAGTGAAACGTGAGAGAAGAACAGGCGTAAGATCTCTGGCTCTAGATCTCGGTCCAGATGAAACTGATCCTGCACCAACCATGTGGCTGAGTGCAAATCACCTGTTTGCATACCATTAATACAGTAGCTGATTTATCACAGAGTAGCATACACACACATAATGGAAGATGTTCTCGACTGCAGGAGAGCAATAAAAGAAAATAGTCACCACAGAGTCTTCAGTCTTAGCGTTCAGACTATTCGGGTCATTTCTTCAAAAAAACCAAACAAAACCCAACAACAACAACCACCCAAAACCACCCATACACAACACTATGCATCTTTAAGCCTGCAACTCAAAATCCTAGAGTTCAGACTCAGACAAACCTACTAAAACCTATTAAAATAGAAGTAAATCAAGTCTTTTTCTGTATTTTTGACACCACCTCGGGTAAGGGTCCTTATTATTGTAGGGATAAAAAAAATAACCTTTCCAGTCTATCAGGTACAACATGCTGACTCGGTCCTGAATCACAGATCAGATTCAGATTCCAAACAGAGGAGCCAGCAAAAGCTGATTATGGACAAAGTACAGCACAACTAAATCCAGAGCTGAAACAGGGTCATTACTGATAGCCATTAGCTCTCCTGAATTACTGCATATCCCTTACTTGCTTGGGGGACCAGTACCATTAAGAAAGAACCCTCCACATTTCTTTATCTGTTTTTGGTAATGCAACCACCAGCCAGCTCTGCCATACATCAGATGGGACTGGAAAACTAAAGACATCATTGTTCTCTGATTGATTTCAGTGCATTTTTTTAAGCCTCACGATACCAATTCGGGACTACCTAACAGTGGAACTGCCCGAATCTGGTTTTGTTTCGCAAGATTACAGCTCTGCAATTAGAGGACAAAAGTAAACGGAGAACATGGGAGAGACCTTCAACGTGGCAGATTTCAATGGCCCCCCTATCAGCCAGCTAACCTAATCATACCCACTACATGTCACTTGCTCATCCCAGGATACAGGAATGAATCCCTCCAGATGTGATGCAGCAAACTTACTCACCTCCCAACTTTGGTTTTGTCCATACCACAAAGAAAAGTCCCCATACAGAGCAGGGATCTCCCCAGAAGATGGTTTTTTTGTTTTTTTTTTTTTTTTTTAAAGAAAACACATGCATCTATCTGTATCGCCTCACAAAGACATTTTTACTCATATTTTGCTTTTATAAAAAGCACAATCTGATATTTATTGGAAAAAAACAAACAAAAATATTTCTAGGGAGAACTAAACTCACCTGCTCTCCCTGTCATCCTCTAGCAGTTGAAGTTTATAATAGGAATTTGTTCCTTTCACAATATCTACTAGCCCAAGGGTTGCACTGAAAATCTTTCCACCTTTTTCAAAGACATGAGCAGAATCCTCCAAACCTACAGAGGAAATAAATTAGAACACAGAGGAGGTTAGAATCTTAAGTCTCCTTTCTGAACATGTGCTCACCCAGATGTTTCATATAGTTGTGCAAATCTTAACAAAAATACTGGAAAAACAATGATCATAGGCTGATTCAACACTACTTGAGCCATTTTTTCTTTTTAATAAACTGCAAGCACTTTTGAGAGATACTCGAGTAAATCTCAACTTCAGCTTGGAGAGGAAAAAAAAAAAAAAATCAGAACTTTTGGCAAAGGACAATCTAAAACCTAGTATTTAACACTGCATGACTAACTAGAGAAATTCTTGACAGAGGGCTTTGCAGGTGTTCTTTAGGAAAATGGACTGAAAAGCCTAGGGCTAGCCACAGACGTAGCATGAATTCTCAGAAGACCTGCCGTGCACTGTAGGTTTTGGAGAGTAGCACCAAGTACCCCCCAAAAGAGGCTGGACCCAGCTGCAGCCTTTCACGCCAGACCTGCAGCCTCTGGGGCCTGGGCCTTCATTCCCTCTACTGAAGGGCACCCATGAAGCTGAACTAGGTGCACTCCCTAGTTTCAGATATCCTGAGAACCGCACTAGAAAATGCTGGAACATTCAGATTTGGGCGCTAATCAATATCCTCACTTTGACAGCAAGAAAAAACAAACAGTTAAAAAAAATCTACTTTCCACTTTTATGATTAGGAATTCAAAACCCTCGTCCTTTTACAGAAAAATCCATTTTGCAAGTGACCATGGATCCTAGAGACTACAGCGCAGGCACAGCCATTTCTGTCACTCACCAGAATCAGGATCTACTGCCGCTCCGCCTTTAACCGTTAGCTTCATTTTCTTTTCAGACTTGCTGGGACCTGCAGGGAAAGGGAGTTAAACTTTTTTTCCAGGCACACAATGTAAAATTTGAACTGAATCAACATTTACATTCTCAATTTGTGTAGTTATCACCCTAAAAGACTTCAAATCAGATTCTGAGTATAAGAAAGGTAGTACTTCAGTGGCTTTTCACCTGGCTTTAGCAGCCAATTCACACCCCTCCCCATCCCACATTGTAATTTAAATGAAAGATAAGATCTCCCAATGTTACCTATTTTCTCCCTTTTGGCCTAAAAAGGTGGACTGTATTGCTTTTTTCATCTGCATGGAAGAGGAAACATTGTATCTGTAGTTCTGTTTAAGTGGGACTTAAAAAATCTTGCAGGCTATGTGGGACATACACGTCCCTTGGAGATCCTACTGCTGTGAGATAGTCTGGTAATAACACACCCAACTGCAAGACAGAAACCAAAGTTTCAAGGACACGAAGCAGCATGGTTGCTGAAGACAGGTGAGCAGAACAGATATTTTGTTCACTTTCCATCATTAATAGTGCAAACTTGCTATAGCTTAGGTGAAGAATGCCACTGGTGTTGGATTTTTTTCCCCTCTGTTTAAAAGAAAAAAAAAAAAAAAAGTTATGTTCTACATGCAGTAGAACAAAGATTCATTGCTCCGGACCCCGGCATTTTCTCCCTTAGGGGCCCTCCTGCGGGGTCACAGTAGTGTCGGTCACGTCTTGGCACACCAAAACCTCCACGGAACTGCAATGCTGACGGAGACTGGCAGAGGAACTGAGGTGTTAGGAGGAAGAGCCTGGGCTGATGCCAAGAAACCCAAAGCACATACAGAACTGAAAAATCTCTGAAGCAAAAAAGAACTTCAGGAAGTAACAGCCACTTCAGGACAACTTCATGATCACTTGCCTTGGGGTTTCATTGTTTAAATTAATCACAGGGAAAAGGGCAGAGAACTCAGGAAAGAGTGAGGCTGGACTATATCCAGGTGTGCTTTGTATATGCAGCACTGAACAAGCCTGCGGAGAAGTGACCACTTTGCTATTCACCTTGTTCTTCTTTGACTTTCCCAGCACTCTTTGTATTTGAGGGTTTGCTGCACCTCCCATCTACAGAGACCTCCTGGTGCTCCATTTTCACCTCTGCACCCCAGGGCGAAAGCGCATGGAGAGAGAGAAGCTCCTGAAAGCCCTTGCTGGAAGATTTCACATCCTGAAGAAACTCCTCTGAGACCACGCGGACTTTGGCTTCCTTCACTTCTTCCATCTTCTTGTTCATTTTCTCTATATCTTCTGCAAAGGCAGGATGGGAGAGAAAAAGCATCAGGTTTCAGACTTCAGCCCCCACCTCTGGCCATCATTCATGGCCATGCAACGCTCTGAGGAAATGCAGTTCCACCACATTTCGGATTCACCAGGTTCTTTGGAAAGCCCCAGCAACCCACCGTGTTTTACCTTGCTGGTCTAGCAAGGTAGACCAGCTCCAGCTCCTGTGGCTGGAGCTGCACAGCCCCTCCTGGGCTGCCCGGCAGGTGGGAGCTCTCCTATCTCAGTGCTCAGTACAGGACTTCAAGTCCAACAGGACACAAGAGCAGGCCCATAGCTGCTGGCAGAGGAAACCCAGTTCAGACACACAGCCCTGTTGAGCTCAGGGGCTGCTGCCTTCAAGCACCTACGGCTGGCTCTGGGGCTTCTCTAAAGCAAGCGCGGGCAGAACCCACAGTGCCTTTTGTCTCACCGAGGGTGGCCGGCACATTGCCAAGGTCTGCATGCAGAGACCTGAGCTCCAGCCACCGCAGACCTGACAGAGCCTTATTGCACAACCCACAGGATTAAAGCCCTAGCTAAGCAAAATTCAAACAACACACATCTGTCTTTACCTTTCCAAGCACACTATGACCATGTGTGCACACAAACACATGCCCTACCCCAAACACTATTCAACTGAAAGATGACAGTCTGTCCTCTCTAACTCACTCAGCTCTGATACCAAGTTACCAATAAACAAAGCAAGGCTGCTCACTTGGTGTGCTGATGCACAGGGTGGCCTTGTTAGCGCTTCCCGTCATCTTTCCTCCCAGGTCCTCCACAATGCTCTTCACCTCCTCCTTGTTTTTGGACAGCTTTCCGAGAACCAAGATCTTCATGTTGGTCAGTGGTTTATCTAGGGGGTTGGAAACAACGCAGTATGTTAGCAACAGGCACAGAGCTCCCCCAGACAAATAACAACCACAGTGGGACAGAACGCCGCAGGCTCAGGAAGACTGGCCCAACAGGAGGAGACAAGGGTCTAAGCAGATCTGACCTGTGCTAGGCAAGTGGGAGAACAGCTCCCTTTCCCCTAGAAAAGGGCCACAAAGCCCAGCATCTGCCAACACGCAAAAGGGTTCCTCGGGAAGGGATGGAAAACAAGGAAGAGGGATATGTAGCTGCATTATTCGCCTGCAACTTTTTCTATCGGTCTACTTCAGCATAGCACTACTAGAGACCCTGCACCACTTCTCAACGCCTGGACAGCATGGGAGAAACTCACTGTAACATGAAAGCTCCTGCTTCTTCAAAAGCAAATTTGTTTTTGAGGAGCTGGAGAAGGAGGATCGCCTCTCACACATCACAGTGCTCCCACATGTTACACGATACCTTCTGGTCTTGATCTTACAGACAGCACAAGGTTTTAAGTCAACTGAATCGTGCAAACCCCATAACAAGTCAGGAGGCAACCAACTAGGGCGCCATCACATTATAGTGCAAACTCTGATGCAATGAGCTTTGCAACACAGGTAGCCCAAGGACACTGCAAGTGTCTAAGAGCACATCTGCACTGCTAAAGACAAATGGTATTGACTTTGTTTTTTTTCTAAACATACAAATTAGTTAGGCTGCTAGCAACCAAGTAACTCAAGTTTAATCCTGGTCAACAGCTTGAGTTTACCTTTAGGGTGTAGTACTGGGGTTGGAATCAACTTGCTAATCAGAACCAAGACCTAGGCTACTTTGTCTTCATTGCTACAGTAACATGATTTGGCTAAAACTAATGGGACAGAATTCCTCCCATCCTTTTCACCACAAAACAATAACCTCTTGCTTCCCAAAAGCATGGCCAGGACTCAAGTCAAGTTCTTAGCTGACAGGTCACATCATTAAAGCAGGTAACTCGTTCCAACAGCCTACATGGCATTGCTGGAGCCTAACCTTTTGCCACTTTGCAGGATGGAGACAGCATATCTATTTTGCATAAGGGAAGTCAGTGTTTGGTAAAGCCAAATCCAGAGAGAGGATTTTAACTTCTTTTCCATAAATCTTAACACTGGATGTGGAGTATTTGGGACTGTGGATGTTCCCAAAAGAACCTAAGCAAGAAAGTATTTCACAGCAGGTCTCATGCAGGACACACTGCAGAACATGGGCCTCGAAGTTTTTGATTCATTGCAGGCACATCATTACCTCACCACCATCAACACCTCAAAATGAATTTTAAGACAACTACCAGGATCCTGAGCGCCCATCCCCAGAAAAAACACCATAACAGGGTCTACCTACGCCAGAAAGACGAAGCACAAGAAACTCCACTATGGTGCGCCAGGAGAGCTCAGCCTGTCTGAAGGCAGGGGGAGAACAGCAGACAGCACAGGATGGCTTATACATCTGGCCAGAAGTTGCTTTACACACTGTCCTCATCTCCTGGAAGGAATAAATCACTGGAGCCAGAGGAAGATGTTTCCTCAAACTTGCTGGACGCAGAGGCGAAGTTTCTAAGAAACACACTCTCTTCTGCTCGAACTCCTATTACAAGACCTGATATTTGCCCTTCTTCTCCCTGTTTCCATAGCTGGGCAGCAACAACTCCAAAAATTCTCCAGAAACGTTTCCCTTTCCAGCAGGTCTCGTTTTATTCTGACCCATGCCCAGCTAGTGGCTTACCTCTGGGTGTGGACACGGTTTCTGTCAAAGGAGCAGACGCAGACGGAGGAGGCACAGAGTTCATAGTTGCAGCCTCTGGAGGGAATACCCTGTCCTGCTTTTTACACTTAAATTTCTTGAGATAGGGGATTTCCCGGAACTCCTGTGCGATGGAAGCACAAGTAGAATTTAAAAACAACAAATGCTGTTACAAGACTTAAAGACTAAATCTAGCATTGGCCAGATCTTGGCATTTACTGCAGGTCTCGGAAAGGATTTCCGAGACATTCAGACTAAAGTAGGCAAATACCCATCTTCCTGACTAAGGAAACAAAGCTAAAAGAAGGAAAATGACTAGCTTCGAATGAAATCCGCAACATCTCTTTCGATTCACGGTTACTGGAAAACATTTTGTTATCCATCGGCTGCTTACCACTGCATTTCCCCACTGTCACAGCTGTTTAGAATTGCAGCAAGTTCTGCTCTCTAGCATCCTACTCCTCCTGCTGCATATTCAACCTCTTTACAAGAAAGAGCATCAGTTAAGAGATGTGCTTCAGATTGTCAAATTTGCAGTAAACACTCACCTTTGGGATTATCCAGTCTTTCCTGTTGGGTGTCTGTGTTTTAGCAACACACTTAGTCCAGGCAGTAATATCCCCTGAACAGTAATATGCATCACTCTTGAAGACAAACTGCCCCTTACACTCTTCGCAGGGAAGCAGAGCTCCAAATGCCATCCCATCTGCTACTCGGTCCAAAATCTAAAGCAACAAAGAATGCAAAACAGGTCATGGCAGAAAGAGGCTGGAAGCCTGCATGCTACAATAGACTGGGTTGGACAAGGGAGAAAATTGTATGGCTGCTGGCCCACATACGTAGACATTTCCAGCACTTCCTGTCACGTGCACATTGCACATCAACCAAGGCTCTCAAACCTATTTGAGTCACAAGGCTTTAAAGACACGACACTAAGTTTCCCCAATCACATTGGACCTGCTCGCACCTGTGACTTGCAACCTCTCCTATCTGGACTCTGCATTCAAGACAGCATGCCTACTACACTGCACCTGACCAGGCAACAGTGCAGAAACAGCAAAGGAAGAGACAAGACATTGCACCTGAGTACTTAGGTGGGAGGGCTGGTTCAGGCAATCCCAATTTTCCTACCCAGAGAGTGCTTCTCGACTACTCTGCGTCTGGACACTTATCACATCCCATCCCAAACTCCGTATACAGAGTCTTCATAAATACATGCCACAACCAACTTGCTCTTAAAAAGCCAGCAGCAACAAGACACGGACCAGTTTGTGCACAGCAGAATAAGGACACATCACTGAGATCAAGGAATTGAATTGGGCAGACACCACCACACAGCTCCTTCCTAAGTGCATAACAGCAATATCATCAGAGTCCAGGGACAAAAGGACTGGGTTTGGCACTCAATTTCTGTCTGCCGTGTTATGCTAGGAAAGCGCTTCAGACTCGTGGACCTTGCAGGAATATCAGTTTGGGTCAGCTTCACCGATTCAAGGATCCAGTACACACGCAAAGCAACTATGCCTCAACTCACAGCATTCTCCCCAGACGGCACTTCCTGCTTGTTGGCGATCAGCAGCTCTTTCAGGTCGTTAGTGGAGCAGACCTTCCTCAGCTCATCCTTGATGCCCCAGATCAGCTCCGTCTGCTCCTGTAGACAAAAGCTGGCAGTTTAGGCACTTGCAGTCAATAACTTTCTATGAACAACACTCCTGAAACTGCAGTACGTGGACAAGGTTTCAACAAACCCATGGTTTTAAAACAGCCTGTGAGAAATGGAAAGTCACATGTTTTACTACAAACACCTGAAACAGTTCTTTACAGTCACACGCTTCAGAGTTCAGTATGAATATAAGAACACACCATGGCTGCAACGCATCTTGTCTCTTCTCAAGATCGCACATGGGAAGGACAACCTTGTGGGATTCTGTACATACCAGTGCCTCTCCGTCATGTACGCAGGCAAAAAATGCCATGGAGTAACATTTACAGCACTATCCCACAGAAAAAGAAAAAAATCATATTAACAAGGCAGCTAATTTTCAGGTAGAGTGGAATCCGTGGTTCTATCACGCTTTACCTTTGGTGAGTTCTCAAAAGCCTTTGTAAATATCACTAAACTAGTTCACACTGCAAAAAGCAGAGATATCGATGTACCCAAGCCATGCAATAAAACACAAGTCCCAAATGCTGATAGGTGGTGTCCTTGTTTTAAGCCACAAGAGCGTAAGAGGAATTTCTACAGATCAGCCTCTTCAAGCATCGCAGATGAGACTGGACATTCTTTTGGCCTTTCCACCAAAGGTAACAGGGTTAGGCAGCAAAGAAATGTTCTAAAAACATCTCAGGTAGTGTCTGAATGTGTTTTTTCATCAGCTGTCCTCACAGACGACGTCTACTCTGTGACAACTGGTTAGCAGTGTGTTAAACTTCTTCCCCTCCCCCCAGTGTCAATGGTCATGCTTGATGAAATACTGCTAAAAACCCCCATTAAGTGAACATGGGCCCAAAGCTAATCCCGATCCCCAAAATAACTTGATGTGTCCTGAATGTCTGCGTTTCAGCATTGAAACCTGGATAATGTCTCACCTGTGCTTCACTGGAGATTAAGCTACCACCACACACACACACAAAAAAAAAGGAAACTTCAACTCAAAGGCAGATGCACCATTTTTCTACAGCAACACCGAGACTTTAACAGCAGCTTTTGCTGAAATTGATTTTTTTTTAGAGAGTACTTAGGCCAGACTTCCAATGACTACAAAATTCCTGAAGCTCCCTCAGGAATTCTTCCCACAATATTCTAGAAAACAAAAGGCAGAAAGCTGTGATTTATCATACTTTCTACTGAAGAACTGAACACAGCTCCCCGGAGGGTGAAGAAGGTATGACTTTCATTAATCTAGATAACTCTCTTGTTTAATTTTTACAATAAGCTTTTTATTGAGTTCCTAGCTCTTCTGCAACGGTATTCAGTCTCCGAGTTTCAGCTGCTACAACCAGACAATACAGGAAAGACCACAGAACCAACTTCCCTGAGAGAAAAGGCATTTAACCTAATCTACTCGAATCCAATAAACACAAGTCCTAGGGTTTTCCTCCCTCATCTTTCAGGACACAGCCGCAGGGTGAACTACCTTCAGCAAAGCCTTAATGAAAGGGGATCCTGTGTGCCAAGACATGAGAACCGGCTGCCTGCTGTGCTGCAGCCCTGCTTTAATTAGTGCCTGACGCTATGCTCTAAGAGGCAGTTTTACAGACCTGATTAGCTAAAACTCACCTTCAGCAGTTTCTCCTGCTTTGATTCTTTCTCTTTTTCTTTTTTCTGTTTCTTTTTCGCAGTTGCATTTCCATCTACCTCTTCTCCTTTTCTCTTTCTAAGACAGAAAGGAACATGAAAGGAAGTTATTCAAGTGACTGTCCAGCAATTACCAGAGCTCACTTTGCTGACTGCTGATATCTGCAGAGGCTTGAATATGCTGAATTTTGGCAGGCAAGCCCATTTTTCAAATTCCTCAGTGCTAGATTGTAGACACGTACTTGGCTCTGCAAAGGAAAAGCCTTGATCAGGTCAGGTGCGCATAGAGCTATTCCACAGGATAACTGCTTGATCTGGCAGAACATATAAAATACTGCAACGCTTCGACTTTCAGGTATATTCATCTACACCTGTATTAGTTACTCCAAAAACATATTTAAGAATCATTGAGTATATCTAAATATACCTCTCCAAATAAGCTGAGGAACTATAGCAAGGCAAGTTAAAAAGACTATTGTGTCTTTCAGCTGCATCAGTAGCTTGATTTTTCAGCTCAGGCAGTACATACTTTTGAGACAAACGACAGCCCACATAGTAACTTTACTAAGCCAGCACACTGGGAAACTAGGTATTTCCCAGCTAATTTCTCTTTAGAGAAGAGTTAAGTCAGGTCTCCGAAATCAGATAGGAGGAACTCTCTGCTTTAAGTTACTTCCAGGCTGATACCGGTTTCACCAATCCGCTACCGTGCAGTTTCGTGCGAGGAATTTTGTTGTTATTAGCTGGGACCTTAGAGCAGAGCAGGGAGAATTTGAGAAAGCTTTGCTCAAGAATGACTGGCAAGAAGAGGAGGCCAAATGAAAGCCAGGAGCATTGCGGCAGATTTCAGAATGACGGAAGACCTCAGTGGAAGATCGCTTCCAGAGACAGGTGTCATCCTCTCGGTCTGCCTGGTTTCAAGATACATTGACAGCAGTAAATGAAATCAGCGCGTGTTTTCGCTACGAGGAAATTTCACCCCACTCGAAGCAGGAGAGACCCAAAACTTGAGGCAGAACATGCACACTGCTTCGATCTCATGCTCGATTTTGAGAGAGCTGCCATCACTGAGGAACATCAGCCAGCCTTCTTTTTAACAAAGAATCTGTAGCTTAACTTTATAAGCTGTGACTGATGGTTAAGACAAAGTTAACGTTCTTTGTAACTCATACTCACAATTTTAGACATTTGACCTTCTAGCTTTGCTACCTTTAAGACTGACCTAGTACTAAAGCTTATAAGCTATAAAGCTGCAGGATGATGTTAAGAGCACTCTCCCCGAAGACTTAGACGTTAGCGACCTGTAAGTTCTAGTAAAACCGTCCTAGGCCCAAGACTGGGCCGAATTCTGAGTTTATTTGCAATGGCTACCAGCAGCCCTTCATTAACACCAAAGACCAAAGCATAGCTCATACCACTTTGCATATCCTGAAGGTGCTAATTTTGTAGCAGATTCCTTCTTTCAGGTGTCCCCCTGCAAGGTCCCATCAGCCTGAGGTGGGGTTGCACGGCAAGTTACCCTGCCCTAGAGGACACACGAAAGAAGCCTCACTTTGCTACCAGCAAATGCTTGTATTTCACAAGGGAAGTTCCATATTGTTTCCTCAGGCGTGCAAGCCTCACCCAGGGCAGCATGGCTGGCTACCGCTCAAACGCGGCAGTGCCTTCAAATCCCTTCAGGACAAACAAATTGCACTCTCCTCTCCTTGCCCCTTGCGGGCACCGGAGCAGGGCAAGCCCAGAGTGTCTGCCGAGCCCACAAAGTACAGCATGCCATCCCACAGGGATCACAACTTTGGGAAGTTTTAAATCAGTCACAGCTACCCAGCATTACCTGGGAAAAACATACCAGCTCAACCGCAGAGCGCTCTGCTAAGCCTTCCCAAGCCAGAGGGCTTAGCGATGTAAGCGTTTACGTTGGGTGCTCAAGCACTGGGTTGAATGGGGACCCCAGTTTTTGAAGCACCTCTCTCCAGGCAGCCTCAGAAGCAGGTTGGCTCCAGCAAGCCAAGATTCACTCCTAGGCAGCAACTGGTCTCCTCTCCGAAAGGAGAGGAGCCAGCAGGCAAGCTGCCGGAAGCCAACCGCACCGCTGAGAGGCCCCAGGACCAAGGGAAAGCATCCAAATCCCATCAGTGACTCACGTTTTTGGTGGCTTCTCCTCAGACTCGAGGGGGCAGTGGGCTGCCCTCCCCTGACAGAGCAATTACTGTACCTGTTCCAGCCACTTGAGCAAACTGCACAGCAGGAGCAATCATCTGGATTGCAGGCAGAGGCATAAAGCTGTCAAGCACCATCTTCTGCCAGCAGCCTGGCTATGCCAGAGACTTAGCAAGCACCAGTGATCGTTTTATACAGTCCAGGGAAGGGAAGGGCAAAGCTGAATTCACCTCGCACGTGTATCTACAAGCTACAAATGGGAAGTTTTAGAACAATTGATGAAATGAACGCTCGCTGACACATGCATTCATTTCATCTCCTGTGCCCAGGACCAGACACACTGCACGTTGTGAGCAGCAGCCAGGAGAAAGGGCGCATGCGGTAGCACCTACTGGGGAAGGGCCAGTCTTTACGCATTCAACAGGTACAGTTCAACAACAGCTTGTTTAAAAAGACCAGTACTTACCAGCCAACACAAATCACTTCTTCTCACCTTCACGGGGGATATAGAACTACAAATTTTATCCCAACTTTGAAGAAGCTGAAGAGGTGGCGAACTGGCCCACTCCAGCCTGGCCCCTTCTTACCATCTACTCTAGTTTTCATGTTCCCCTCTCTAAAATGAGAGCAAAGGGGAAAGGAGTCATGGCAATCCTGAATAAAGCCAGCAAAAGGCACAAGGAAGAACAGGAACTCCCCTTCTCCTCCTCCTCTCTCTAAAGGACTGAGGGATTGCTCCTGACAGAAGTACTCGCTTTGCGTCTCACGCAACTACTGCATTTAATCCTGCGCTGCATGACGATGTCTCTAGAACGACACTTTGCTTCTGTCCTTAGCGAACGTAATGCAAGACAGCAACTCTACCCAGGCAAGCAAGGCAGAAAAATACAGGAGAGCATTACAGCCTGGAGCAGAAGGGCTAAACATACGCTACCAAAGAAGCGCAGTCCAAGGGTGCTGGCAAGCTGCTCTTGCAGTTCCTACATGAGTAGGGGAGCACTCCTTCCTGCCCAGGAGCCCCCAGCAAGGACACAAGACCTCCTTCCCTGGCACTGCAAAGTGCTGGCCCTCAGGCACGACAGCCCTGAGCCTGGGCGAGGGTCAGGATGTCTCACCCAGAGCTGACTACAGAAAGGAGCCAGGACCCTTGTAGGAAACCTTCCTGTTTTTGTCCTTCAGGGGGAAGGAGCATTCTAACCTGTTCTAGACGGCTCGGCTCCGTGCCTCTCGTACACAAGCGGATAACGCTACTACCCTTACAGAAAGGGCTGACAGGGTAGTCCAAAAGTCTGCTGAGCTCCTCCGTGGCGTATGGGCTAGGCACACAGAAGCAGCACGCAAGTTTGGACGTGCCGTATCCGAGTTGCAGAGACAACATTTGAGTCAAGATATAACTTGAATCCAGTACAAGCATAGACATCTTTAAAGATCATTTTCGGAATCTCACCTACAGCAGATGCTGTAATGTCATTTCTGTAAGATGCTGTAAATTGTCATTAATTTCTGTTATTTGACTGAACTCACAAGATGAATCATCAGAGGTATCGGCATCTTTTTCAAGCTTTTTTTCCCCCGCCGCCTCCTCCTCCTTCAGAATTTCTGTGCTTTCTTGACAAACAGTCACCCTCCTCCCTCACTTATGCAGTTTATTTGACAGATAACTACTTTTCCAATTGACCCTTAATACCCTTGGCTCAAGCACCCAGTCTAAACAGCAAAAGAAGGGTAGTGGAGCATAAGAGCCAGCCAACACCTTCATGGTTGAAGGGCTCGCTCATGCAGTGCTTGGAAAGCAGGAAAGATGAGAGATCCTGCTGCTTTTCTGGCATAACGCCCCAGTTTACATTACTCTACTTCACCAATCTAAGCTTTGTTCCACTGCAGTTCTAGACTCTTATTTACACAGTGACTTGGCAAACTATGTTGTGGCCTATCTTTGCAAAGCCTTCATAATTTGAATAGCATCCCAGAAGCGGCCCAGGAAAGGAGAGGCAGGGCAGGCAAGAGAAACACTTGCACAACTTCTAGGGCTCTGCCAAAGACCTGGGAGAAAACTAAAAATATCCTCCTTAAACACATGCACTGCCCTAGGACAAAGCTGAGCACTCACCTCTGCATACAAAGCAGAGCACTACTTGAAAAGTTGCAAGTAAATTAAACCATGGAACTTCTACTTACATCCTGCAACACGCACAGCGGCAGAGTGGCCTGTGTAAAAAGATGGCAGGTCGCCTGGAAGTGACAGATAGTTCTTCACGCTCAGAAAGACCTCAGCCTGCAGTCGTTCAGCTGAGTTAGCTGAGAAGCAAGGCACCTGACAGGGTTCCCTGAGGAGCACTCGCTCGTGCAGCGCTGCAGGACCCTCCTTGCAGCACCTCCACCACGGCTGAATGTTTCTGGAGCAACTGTTTCCAAGCTGAGCATAAAGTGCGGAAGCTGAATGGCAGCATCGCAACGACACATAGGTCACATCCATCACTCAGATGGATGCGAGGTTCTGAACAGCACTCCGTGCCCATCAGACATACATCTGGAGAACCAACGCTGAAAAAGACTGCACAGATTTGACCCAGCTAGGTTTTCCCTCAGACCCCAACGTTGGCCTCACTGGGCAGTTTCACACTGAATCCTGGCAAAAGTAGAGCTGAATTCAGTCTATGAGGCACCTGGAGAAGCCTGAAGTCTTACAACTTCTTTTCTGTTTGTAGACCTCAGCAACACCTCACGTTCTCTCCTTCATGGGGACTACGCAACAGTGGCTTGCATTATGAACCGTAACTCTAATCTAAGTTACTTCAAAAACAAGTATCAAAAGCCTTCATTAACAGAGAAAGATTGATCGATGCTAAGAAGCAACCTGAAAGCACTTTTCTGTCACTACAAGTTCTGTCAAGGGCCTCTAGCTAGAAATTTCAATATAAGGCAATGAACCTTCAGTCTTATCATAAAAGACTTGGCAAACAAAAGCATCCAAGCATCAGCACTACTCAGCCAATACACAATATTACCAGAATCAGTGCCTGTCACAAATCAGCCGTTCATAGATAAGACACGTCAAATCAATTCTCTAACAAGTGGTTAGAACAGGGAAACCATCACTGATAACAGCATCACACAGGAGACGCAGAGCCCAGCATTCATTTGTATAAAGCACGCATTACTTTATGGCTGAAAGCCCTACATCAGTTTTCCAAGTCACAGCTGCTGGTCTCTGTGCTTTCTCTATGCAATCACAGGGAGCACTTGGACTGCCAACTCCTAGCGATGGGCAACTTGCCTGTTGTCACTGCTTATTATCACGGGAACGACCAGCACCTCCTACAACTGCTATTCGTTTTCAGAGAGACAATAACACTAAAAAACAGTCATCATAGACGCATCTGAAGACAAGTAATAGTACCTTTAGGTAACGCTCTCTCATACTCCCTACGTACCCTTCGCTCTTGGTAGCTGGAAGCTGCTTCTTCAGAGTTTCTTTATCTTCAGCTTTCAAGATCCCGAAGCCCAAGAGCTGAGCGGCCCCGTACGTCGGGAGGAAGCCCAACTCTGCTCGGCGGCTCACAAAACAGTCCGGGTGGTACCAGTTATCTATCATTCCCAGCTGCGGCTTTTCAGGATGCACCATCTTCTTGGAAATTCGGATCTGGCCCTGAGGCAGGTTAAAGTGACACAAGAGCAATCGTTAGGTTGCCCTAGGAAGAACAAGATGTTAATAAGCTCATCACAAATAAAGTAATTCCTGAACAGCTGCAGAACAGCAATGTTTCCTCTATCTACAGCTGTAACTTTTATTAAAGCCCCGTCACTTAAGCTCCTCTGCTTTCTTGAATATTTCTTCTGGATTGAATTTTTCCATATATACTTCAATTTGAAAGAGATTCTCAACTTTGGTAAAGTTGAGAATCCAGCCTTTTAAGTAGTTTTCTGCTCAATAAACCCCTCCAACAGGTAAACTCCTTGCAGTCTTCACTCACTCAACTCCCTGACTCCCAGTAAAGTTGAACAAGCAAAGCTCACGTGACCAAACTCTAAGCAGGGAACTCCAAAAGCTAGCTTTACGTCCCTAACGCTGAGCATCAGCACTACCAAGATCCAAAGAGCTGTGAACTTCCCGTCTCATCTTACTGCAAAGTACTTTTCAGATTCCGATAACTACTTGTTTTAGGTGTTTTTAGACTCCAGTCCTTCACGCTCCAGTACAGGTATGTCTATTCAGCAGTTGCAATGTTTCTGCGGACAGGAACACACCAGAACCGGTGTTTAGACCTGCACAGGTGAGGGCCGTTCACATCCATCAGCACAGAGAGGCTCAGAATCTCATTTTGCCAGTGTTGTTTAAAAGCAGAGCGCTGAGACATGCTCAGCTATAGGGCAGGACACGGTGTTAATGAGCTGCATCACTAGTTTTGTATGCCTGCACCGAGGTAATACAGAAACACTGCACACGAACAGAACTCGTCTTGAGGAGGAGGAAGAGGCTGACACCTTTGACATGCTCCAACAAGCAAAAGGTAGTTTGTGGTGGTCTTCTTGCCACAGAAACGCTGGTGAGCAGCGCTGCAGTCTGGTCCCAGGCCCAAGCAAAACAAAAAACCCAAACAAACAAACAAAACACCCCCATATCAGCAGGTCCAAAACCCAGGCTCCAGCCTGAGGGATGCCTTTATTGCCAGCTGTCCAGGACACAGCTGCTCTTTACACACAGAAGTGCAACTCTGCAAGTGCCTTCCATAGGCAAGGCAGGCAGGAAGCAATTATAAAAGTCACTGTTTGAACTGGGAGCAGCGGGAGAAAAGACAAAAGTCGGAGAACGAGGAAAAGCTCCTCACCTTTTCTATTTTCTGTTCGCAGCCTTTGCAAGTACTTCTGTTAGACTTGGCATATTCTGCAGCAAAGTCGTTTAGGCTTTTCTCAGCCTTGCCACCTACTTCCTGGTCCCCTCCTTTTCCTAGAGGGCAAAGGCAAATACAGAGTTTGGCTTTAAAAGGCCTTTTTGTAAAGTTATTATTATTCTCTGTCCCAGATTGTTAGCAGTCTGGATTAATAAACCCCTGTGTTCCAGCAAACCACCTGTCAAGAATGTGAATACAGAGTAAAATAATCAGTCCATGCTCAAAAGCACTTTTAAAGCATGAAGAGTTTAAGCAAGTAGCAATTGCGGAGGGCTGCTCAAAGGATTTTTGAGGACTTTCCAAGGTACCCAGAGCTGACCTTTTTTTTACCTCTTTTCTAAGTAGTATGAAATGAGATCTTACTGAAGAATTGACTGTAACAGCAGTCACAAATAGCCATGCTTCAAAACAGAACTCCTCTTACCAAGTGCCAGTTTCCTTTTACTTTAGTATTACTACATTTCAACAGGCAGACATCAATCTAAAACTGCCCAGTATGCTCAGTTTATATAAAGATTGGGTGGATTTAGTCCGCTCTGTACCCAGCTCCTTCCCACTCGCTTCCCTGATTCATTAGTTCGCTGGGTAACAATACGGAAGAGCCACGATAGCCATGTGCTACAGTGAAGGTATCGTTAAAACGACACACTACAAAAGCATTTGTTAACGTTAAGGAACTGAAACCAAAATACACCAGGCATGAAAACAAGAATATCTGTCAATGCATCTGCCAACTGCCTTGTTTTTCCCTTGCTGGTTTCAGAGGCTAGACCATATTGCCAGCTTCCTAGTCTGCGGTGCGCCGTCACCATGGCAATTCTGCCCATCTCACTTCCTGAAGGGACAGGGTAATCACCTAACTGTAATCTGTCAATAGCTTGACAACAGAAAGCACGCTTCCTGTTGAACCTCTGAACACCTGCTTGGCCTCATCACAACACCACCTCTGCTTACCTCCTCCAGGTCCTCCAGTTTCAATGGCTTTCTTGATTTTCTCCTGATCTTCCCATCGGAGCTCAGGGAAGCCATCGATGTCCGTATGGGACACAATTCGAGCCCGCTTCCAGAAGCAGCTGTAGTGATGCCAGTGAGGGACTTTGCCATCAAACATGGGCGACTAGGAAGAAAGTAAAATTAGGCCAAGATGAAGCCAGTCAGACAGCATCATGGGGAGGGTGAGGGGGGGGGAAGGGAGATAAAAATTGAAATATCTGGGTAAACACAAGTAATTTTTTTTTTCCAATTAAAAAGATATCTGCAATTTAGGACAAAGCCTAGGAAGAAAATCCAACGTGACAGACGAGGTGCCTGGGGAGAGGACTCAAAGGGGATACATGCAGAAAGAGAGTCTACCCAGCTTAAGCAGTTTGTCACCCTATTGTTTAGCCCTTCCACATTACTCGAAAAAAAAAAAGGTTGTAGCCTCAGCAGGGCTATACCAACCCTGAGCAGACAAGGAGAGGTTTCTTCTCAATGAGAATCAGGCCATCGGCAGGGATGAGCAATCGAAACAAAGACAGTGGATAAGCCAAGCGCTGTTTTCCGGGGGATTTATCCACTACAGCCTCCTGCCTAGGGAGCTGCAGGAGGCAGAGGCAAAACTTCAGAGCAACATTACAGTCCAAAGAAGTTCTGCATCAGGACAGAACCACAACCTAACTCCTTCCCCAAAGAGCAAATCCAGAGCACCCTGCCTTGTACCAGCCTCGCCGGGGAAGCGCGCTGCTCGGTCATGACTCAGACACATCAAGTACCAACCCGACATCGTTCCGGTTACCAATCAGACAAAATAACGGCTTAGCGGTTTGGCTCCGAGGGATGTACACAAACAATGGCTGTATTAATAACACACAGTGCTGTACTATTATTTTTATTACTAAAGATACAAAATTAATGAACTAGGAAAGCCTTCTGCGTACCACTTACGGACAGGAGAACCAAACGCAACAGCAAAGCTTTGCCCACGAGCAGGACGGAGGAGGAAAGGGCTTCTGAGGATCACAGCATGGCACTAGGAGAGCCAGGAGCCCTGGATGACCACCTAACCTCCCGCCAAAACTGTGAAAGGGCATTCACGTTTCCAGCTGCCGGGCTCCTCCCGTGAGCAGGGATTTGGACGGCACAGTAACCTCAGGGCACAGCAGCCCCGTGGGAGTTGCTCTCGGTGTGCTGGGCAGCTTCACGCACCCCCCGTGACACCACAGCTTGGCCATC